CCTCAGTTAATCAGTCCTACGCTTTAGGCCTCCTTTGCATTATAACTCTTACATTTTTGGGTCCATTGTTAAGTAAAATTGAGTCACCTGAACACAAGTACAGCAACAGCATAAGCAAGGATCTGATGACCTTGATAGCTGCTCAACAGTCTCATTTACTTTTCTCATTGTTAAGACAAAATACCTGACATCCAGAGTTAAAGGGGGAAAGTCCTCTCTTCTTTCTAATTCTGACTGTCTAACAAATTTTTAAAAATATCCAGGGATGTGTTGGTCAGTTTTCTGCACTGTAACAAATACCTGAGATGATTGTCTTATAAAAAGAAAAGGTTTGCTTTGGTTCATGGTTTTGGAGGTTTCAGTCCATGCTCATTTGGCCCTTTGTTTTTGAACCTGTAGTGAGGAAGCACATCATGGTGGGGAGCATGTGGTGGAACAAAGAGCTCACTTCCTGGGTCAGAACAAAAGAGAAGAGGAAGGAGCTGGAGTCTACTCTAACTTTGAAGGCTGCCCGATGATGAATGGGAGACCTCCCCAAAAGCCTCCACATCCTCAAATGGTTCCAATCTGGGGACCAATCCTTTACCACATGGGTGTTTGGGAGACATTGAAGATTCAAACTATGTTATCATCGGGGGGCCAGAAATCACCAGAGTAAGATGGCTTTAACAGGACTGGAAGTTTTCCAGGGGAATTCAGAGAAAGAGATAACGAGAAAGTTTAATTATTGAAGGTAGAATCTAAATTAAGGACAAAATCAAGGATTTTTGTAATGGACAAAGAAAAATGGTAGACTGATGGCTTAGAGAATCCAATGGAACAAAAAGGACAATTGAAATGACATGTGCCCTGTGGGACCAGAAACAGGTCTTGATCACACCTTCATCCCAGTGCCAGATACCTGGTGAACCCGTGGATGTTCCATTGAAGAAGCAACACATACAGTAAAATAAGTAATTAAGAACTTCTGAGAATTATTCTGATGACTCTTTCCTAGTCCAGTTTCAGTAAGTTATTATGCATTTGAACCCCAATGAACTAAAGTGCTTTTGTTCTAAAAAGATTACTGTGCTGCTAGTTCATATCCAGAGATTAGAATCTACTCTAATTAAAGTAGAAAGCTATGTATTACAGAATATTAAAGAGACTACAGGATTAATGAGAGAGCTGAAGCCACAGCCTGGATTTCCAGAAATAAGTAACTGTAACAGCTACATTACAGAACCGAGCTGAAGAACTGCTATGATCAACATGGTTGATACCCTTATTTATGGCAAGTCAGCAAGACAAAGAGCAAAGGGAACCATCAAATAAAATTAGGGATATTCAACCTGCAGCTTTCAGAGTCCCAAATCATTTTCCCACCTTGGAGTGTTGTGCATAGTTTACTATTCCTTCATGTGTCTTTGTGTGTGTGTGTGTGTGTGTGTGTGTGTGTGTGTGTGTGTGTGTGCGTGTGCGTGTGCATGTGATGGGAATCAAGTTAATTAACTGAAGTAGCCTTCTTTCTTTTTCCTTTATACAATAGTTTTCTAAAACTTTAATTTGTTTTTCTATTCTGGAAGGCTGGGGTAATTCTTACAAAGTTCCTTGTGAAAAAGTACTCCCTTCTGTCACAGTACAGTCTTTACTAATAAATAGTTTTGTTGTTAGTGGCAGAGGTGCTTGAGAGAGTTCTGAGACTTATTTTGGTTTATACAGTCTTATGCCCATCATGGATTAGTCCAGTTTTCATAAGTGTAACAAAATACCAGAGGTACACTACTTCATCAAGGAGAAGTCTCATTGTGCTCACAGTTTTGGAGGCTGAAAGCCTGGCTTCTGACAAGTGTCCCCCTTGGTCCCATCACATCACGGTAGGAATGTGTGCATTTGTATGCCCATGTAGTTTCTCTCGTCTCCTTATGAAGCCAGCAGGATACAGTCATGGGGCCTCCATGCTCATGATCTCATTTAATCTAACTGGTCTCCAAAAGCCCCATCTTTAAACACCTTGGACAATTAAGTTTCTACCATCTTAATACTATAAACTTTGGAATTTAATTCTACAGAAATTTGAGGGAACAAACATATTCCTGATAGTACCACATTTCTCCTTCTCTCCTTGCTTTCCAATCTACAAATTCCCCTTGTTTGTTATGGTGAAACTATTTTGATTTTTAAACTAATAATTTTTTTACAGCAGTTTTGGATTTAAAGAGGAATTGAGCAGAGAAGAGTTCCCATATATAGGTACAGTTTTCCCTTATTAAAATGTTCTAATACTGTGATAGAATTGTTATAGTTAATGTGCCAATACTGATGCATTACTGTTATGGCTGTAGTCTACATTAGGGTTTCTTTGTGTTGTGCATTCCCGAGTTTTGACTAGCGCATGATGTTCTGTTTCCACCACCATACTATCACACAGAACAGTTTCACTGCCCTAGAAATATTCTGTGCTTCATCGAGCTATCCCCATCCTCATCTCACCCTCCAACTCCTGGCAATCCTCGTCTCCCCCTTATCTCTTGAGTTTTCACTTTTCCAGAATGTTACTTAGGATCATGCAGTACACAGTGATATCAGACAGGCTTCTTTCATTTAGCAATATGCATTTACGTTTCCTTCATGTCTTATTGTAGATTGGTAATTTACTTTTAATACTGAATAATATTCCATGGAATGGTTATATCCATCTGTTTAGTCACATACTGAAGGATATCTTGGACATTTCTAAATTGTGGCAAGAAAGAATAAAGCAACTGTTCTGGTTTAGATCTAAAATGTGCCCCCAAAGTCTGATGTGTTGAAATGGTGATAGCTCACTGAGACATGACACTTACCAGTGGACTCACCTACTGAAGGCTCACTAGCTGAATGTGGTTAGGAGGCATCCCTGGCTGGATGTGGACCCCTGGGGGTGTGACCTGGAAGGGTGGATTCTTATCCCTGACTCCTCTCTTCTCTGTTTCCTAGCTTTCAGGGGTTATCTCTATTATTATCTTTTTCTAAATATATTTTCCATTAAAATTTTGTTTTTATTAAAAATAAATTGCAAGATGATACTATTTGCTTCCTATCAACTGCAGTGATTTTTCCAGACATACTGGTAGAGGACTTAAGATTCAGTATGACAGCCTCAGTCTCTAAGTTGAAGGAAGAAGCTAGATATGTTCTTCTGCTAATACACTTCTTCAATTTTGAATTCAGCTGATTAGTGTGCTTAAATATGTGTATAAACTTTTGTCAAAATGATTTCTAAAAGTTGCCAGGTGTGGTGATGCATACCTGTACTTCCAGGACTCGGGAGGCTGGGGCAGGAGGATCACTGTCATTTTGAGGCCAGCCTTGACTACATAGTGAGTTCAAAGCCATCCTAAACTGCAGACTCTGTCTCAAAAAACAACAAAAAAACCACAACAAAAGAGTTCCAAAAGAAAGCTCTTCACCAAGCTGCTTTTTGATATCTGTTCAGACTCAACTTACTATTATCACTATTCAAAACTCTGACACATCAACTCATTGAGCCATCTGCTCAATGAAAATAGTTATTTCTACTTGTAATGCTACATCCTATATGTCTTAGGAAAATTCTGAAACTATTTCATGTTAAAGATAATCATCTGTAATGTCCACCACAGTTCCCCGTGCCCCTCTCTGTCCTTATATACAGCATTCTGTATACTCCATCACAACTTTTCCATTACTTAAAAATTTACTTGTGCATGTCCGCGGTACATGTTTACACTCCATGTGTGAGTTGGGACACATTCACAGCACATTATGATTCCTTATTTCACTCCTTCCCCGGCCTTTCTCCCTGTTTCTCTGTCCCCTTCCCATCTGAGACTTAGCTCCCTATTTCCTGTTATTGGCCCTTTACTTTGGTATTTATATTTTTTTGACCTAGGGCAAATAACTGCTCTAAGGCATTGTTTTCCTCATCTTCAAAAGGGAAACAAATATAATACCCAGTTCACAGCTGAGCACAGGTTAAATGCAGTAATACATAAAAGGCCTTAGAAGTGTGTCTGGCATATAACATTACCACTGCCAATACTTACCTACATGGGTCTATTAAAGCATGAGCTCAAAGGGCTTATTTCTGCAGGCAGGAGATAGCTCATAGTAAGAATTCAATGTTGGAATTGACCTATATTTTCCAATAATGCAGTATGGATCTATCCTTTATTTAATGTCATTCTCAGTAGACTTACTTAACTTGTACAGATGATGGTCAATTTTATGTCAATTTGTCCTGGCCACAGTGTCCAAGTATTACTCTGGATACTTTTGTGAGGGTATCCAAGAATGAGACTAACATTAAAATCAATTGACTTGGAATAAAACAGATTGCCCTTCCTAATACGGGTAGACTTCAAAAATCAGTTGATGTCCTATACTGTACAGAACAAAAGATGATCTCCCATGTACAAGAAGGAATTCTGCAACCAAAGACCTCTGAACTTCAACTGCCATGTTCCTACCCATGTCTACACCCTGAGTCTACACCTGCTGATCCATGATGTAGATTTACACTTGTTTCCAAAATCATACAAGCTAACTACTGAAAGTAAGTCCTTCTCTATGTATATCTATCTCTAGATAGATATAATCATATCTCTCAAAAAAACATATGTTTATGTATAAAATATGTACAATATACATATATATTTTATATAGTATATATATAAAACCTCCTTCTGCTTATCTGGAGAATACTAATTCTTCCACCTATAGAAAATACACATGAAATTAAGATACAGATCAATGTATAATCATTGAAATTTAAAAAATTTATTTGGAAAGTTTAGAATTAAATATATTTTAAAATATATATGTATATAACATATAATTACAGAACTATAATTATATATGATATATAAATATATATACATAATTATATATTTAAAAATCTTTAAATATATATACTTTAAAAATCTCTGAAGTTTTTCCCCCTTTTATTTTCTTTTAATAAAACCCTATTTTTATAAAGAGTAAAAACAATACAAGGGGAAGAAATTATTGCAATTTTATTTTAAATTTCTAAATTATTTGTTTTATATGCTTGACTCAAACTCTAAATCATATACATACAAAAGTATAATACAAAAGTGAAATAGGTTCTTTAAACATAGACAAAAACCTGATACAATACACATTTTTAAATTAAATTACTTGTTTTTACAACACTGAAAAACTAAATTAAAAAGTACATAGGAAAATATAATGATTTCAGATGTTCTCTTTTCAAATATACGGTTTCAAATGGAGGTTAAGTGTTCGCATCACTTTAAAAATCCAGACACAATGCACCCGATAGATTCATATTAATTATAACATTTTCCTCCATCAACAGTTTATTCACTGAGACTCACAGAAGCTCCATGAAGGGCCATCAGTTAATCTCTTCAGGTTAGAATCACAACCACATTTTCAGCACTGGATCAAAGAATCATGAAAACATGGGTAGGTGTCAGTAATCCACGCGGAAGTGTCCTTCAGATAATGACAATCTTAACTAAGCTTCACAGTCGCCTTTGGCACGCAGTAAAAGAGAAGTCTTTATTGCTGAGGGCACTGAGTCTCTGGAGTTGCTTTGGAGGACACATAGAGAATAGGGTGTAATTTCTTACAAGGCTCCTTTTCCAACTTGCTTGCAGCTTCCGTCCCTTCTTTAGCTTCTGTCTGAAGCTGTGCTTCAGCCGCTAACCTACAGGCATCAAAGCATCTACTCTGAATTCAAATGAGGTTAAGAAAAACTAAAGAATCCCAAGGAGGATGGCCCTCCAAAGAGGCATGGTGATATTTTAAAAACTGTATACAAGGAAAAAGTTATAGGTAATTCCAGTACCATAGAGAATAGTAAATGACTGCCTCTAAAACAATTCTTACATTAATAGCTTAATTTTTAAAAATGTCTAACAAATATCTTTAAAGTTGATTTTAACAAAGCCTAGCAAGGCCAACATTTAACAATTATATAATAGGATACCTATCCCGAGAAGCACATACAACACAAAAATTAAAATGAAATGCTAGAGTAGTATTTTAAAGTTAACAGGATATACAATAGCTAAGTGCAAGATAAAATTAACATGGAATCCTGAGTTGCATGAGTAGATGTCTATTGGCCTACACAAAAGAAAAAAAAATAACCTCAAATTTACTTTCAGCTAGTAGAATTAGTGAAGAAAAAATAAACAATGGCCAAGATATTTAGAAAGACTTGTAAAGATTTTTTTTTAATGGCAAGTGTCAATTACATTTATAAAGCGTGCAATAGTGAAGCTCCCAATAAAACTCATCTTTATTGTCATAAAATTACTTTTGATTGTGTGTCTAAGTTAAGCATGCAGAAAACAGAAGGTTGGAAACATCTTAAGTTAGCAGAGGGACACAGACACACACAAAAACATTTTGTGGTATTTTATTTGCTTTTGTTTAAATAGCAGGATGAAAATTTTCCAATGTATGATTCAGTCGAACAATTAGCTACATACATTTTTTTTCAAGTTAAAAAGAGCAGAAAAAGAAATAAAGGCAACAGAGATAGCAAGTGCTACAGTGATCAGTTTTGGAAACCGACTTACAGCAATATGCACACGCCAAGCACACTTACAAAAGTGCATCACGTATAAACAAGCATAAACCGAGTTCATTTCCAGACGCCTTGGAACCAAGTATACACGTCACATATCATTCATTTGAATGATTTCCTAAAATATCAACCTCTTACCTATGTGACTGACTGGTTATAACATTATATAAAAATTCAAGGAAGGGAATAAGTCTTCCTTATAACAATAATAGCAGCTAATACTGTTTTCTCATTATTGAGTACTATAGTTAGTAGCGTTAAAAGCTGAAAGATAAATCAAACAAAACATACACGGAGGTCCTTTTATATGAAGCGGCCGTGTCTTGTGTTAGTCAAATGCACACTGGTCCAGTGTGATTCTGTACCCCTCTCTCTAAGACTGATGTAGCCCTAGCACTTAAAGATCTCATCTTTGTGTTCTTCCAGATCATCTAAGTTAGCTATTCACAGACCACCAGATGGCAGTTTTAAGTGGCCAGAGTTACTTTAAATGCGTCTATGACTGCACTGTGTGAAGACATCCTTCATCATTTCTCAAAATGATTGCCCTGGCCATTTCTCGCCCTGTTCCCGCCTCACCCTTCATGCTGCTCTGCATCCAGAGCGCCAGCTTCAGCCAGTTCCCTCCTCCTCCCTGCATGTACTTTTCTCTCATTTTCTTACTTTCATTGTTTTTATTTGTTTAAAGGACAAAGCCTTCTAAACATCAATTCACATATGCATGCCTGACACTTCCTCTTTTAGTTACAAACTCAATATTGCAGAAACTAGAGGCTTTGAAGTTTTAGAAAAATGAACATAAATTAGCTTTGATACTAAAAAATGTCAAAATAGATATCAAAGCCCATTTTTGAAGGCTTAGTATAAACAACATCAAAAGCCATAAAAAATTTCATCTACATTTTTCAAACAAAATATCTCGGACTACTGGAAAACACTCTAAGAAGGTAAGTTAATCATTCTTTCATGGCTACTCTTGAGCCAGAAGAAAAATAATAGTGCATTTATTCAAACCAAAAAAATAAAAATACTCAGTGAGTACTAATCTATATTTCCATTTCATAAAACAAAAAAGTGTAACTTTTTAATACAATTCCCTTATTCAGGAGTCTTTTCCTCTTGCAATCATTTTGGTCTTTCTTAAAGTTCTGGGAAAGTTGAAGGTAGGCAGATGAAACTGGGGGATTACCCTGCAAGCAACGCTAAGGAGATAGATGAAGAAACAAACAGCATAGTTCATGCAGCGAGACAGAAGAGGCGAAGAGGTCTGCCGGCTGCCCTGAAGAAAAAAGGACACTGACCTGGGAGAGTGCTGGCTATCTCCGCTTCTTTCACACAAGGCCTCCGCATCAGCTGGGCCATCCAAGAGCTTCACACATTTCTTTTCTTTCTTTGGCTGCATATCCACTGGCAGATCTTTGTGAGGACAGAAAGAGGCCATGGGCGTGTTTGCAGAAATCGGTTCTTGCAACTGCAAGCTGGTAACCTCTAAGTTATTAGGACAGGACTCTGCCTCCTCTTTGGGAGGTAGGAATCTAGAAACTTCTTCCCCATTGGCATTGTTGGCACATACATCTTTAGGGATGGTTACATCCACAGGTAGCACTTCACGCCTCTTTTTGAGTACAGGGACTTCAGTTTTCTCTGAGAATAAAAAACATTTTAAAAAGTCATCGATAAATAACAAAGTTGCAGTCAACTCAAGGAAGGAGGAAGAAGAACAAATTATATGTAAACTATTTTCCTTTTCTCCATTGTCTTAAAATTCACTCAACTTATGAAACACATTGTTTCTTTTACCCTTCCTTCTGCACCTGTCCAGTTAGCTATACCTTTTAAGTTCATTCAGCCATGAACTTTTCCTTGGGAACTCAATATATATAATTCTGGAATGAACAGAATGTTCTCTTCTGGTGTTTTCATAAAAATTATAAGGGGGAACGCTGCGGAAGATCTCAGACCAAATGGAGACAAAGGTATAGTGACAGAGTCAAGGAGCCTGAGTTCAAGTCCTGGTACTATGCCAGCCATGGTAACACTGTAATCCCAGTACTCTGGGAGGATGAAGCAGTAGGATCTCTGTTCTACCCCAGAAACTTAGCCAGACCCTGTCTCAAAGAATAATGGGCTAGGGATGTATCTCAGTGTAAAGGCCTTGAGTATTTAACTTCCCTGCCCTTCAAATGGGAATTACAAGCACCCACTTCAAGCACTGATGTGTGTTGTAAGGATTAAACGAAAATAATATGTCATACTTTGCATACTGGTAATTTGGGACAGTAAACCCCACTTGCAGAACATATTCAGGATCTGACTATTCCATAATATACATTTTCTCTTCCCAAACATAACACCATGTTCCATGCAGACACTGTGACTGCCTTTCATCCTAAGGTAACCTAAGATCATCCTATCCCCTATGAAAGTTCTACAGTCAGTGAATTCAATGCTGCAATACACTCCCCACCAGTGCGTCTTCATTTTCAAAATCAAAATGTTAATGGAGCACTTGGGAGGCTGAAGCAGGAGGAACACTGTATGAGGCCACCCTGGGCTACAAAGTGAGTTCATAGCCAGCGTGAACTGCATGGTGAGATTTTGTCTCAAAGCCAAAAACAAAACAAAAAAAACCCAAAAAGTATTGAAATGCATGGATCCAGAGTAGAAAATGGAGTCGGTGCTCTTGCCCCACACTGTTGCTTTCAGGTCATTACTCCACCTTTCGCTCACATGGCTTCTTTGAAACCCACACCATCTGAACTTACTACCCATTCTTCTGTCTCTTTGCTGTGTTCCTTTCAACAGACCTTTGAAATTTGTTGAGAAATTCTTAATCAGGGGAGCTTACTGGAGTCAGGGAAGACAAAAAGGAGATAAGAAATAGAAGGCTTTTTAAAACTACGTAACATTCCTCTGATTCTTAACCTCCCTGCTCCCAATGTGAAACACTACAGTTCACTGAGACGATGAAGAGAAGAACTAGGCATGAAAACAGAGCAGGAAGAAAAACAGGCTGAGAGTTCTTTTTCTTTTTGGAACTGGGGATCGAACTCACGACCTCACACTTGGCAGGCAGGCACTTCCGCATTGTTGCATAAGTGCAACAATACACTCTCAGGGGCTGGGGATTTAGCTCAGCGGCATAAGCGCCTGCTTTGTAAGCAAGCAGTTGTGAGTTCAATCCCTGGTACCAATAAAAAAGAAAAAGACAAAAACAAAACAAAACAAAACAAAAAAAACAATGCATTCTCAGCCACTAATACATTGTTAACCTATTTTAGGTTAAGAACTCTCAGCTGCTGAGCTAATCCCCAGCTGGCTGAGAGTTCTTAACCTAAAATATGTTAACAACACTATTTTGAGAGGGAGGGGCTAGAACAATCGCACTAATGGATTATATCTTTATTATTTGGCCTTTTAGTTTTAAACTATATATCGTAAAATTCACTTTTTGTGGTATAAGAGATACAGAGATTATACAGTTGGGATATTTTCTATCTCTGAAGTTAGACTGGTGAGCTGTTTCCTAAAGTTTTTCCTTAAAAACAGAATTCCTGAGAAGGGGTGAAGAGATGGGGAAGGAGGAATCTCCAATGATCATTCTTCTGCAGAAAGATCCATTTGAAGAATTACCTGCACACAGAAATATAGGACAGGAGCCTCACGAGAGCTTAGAAACTGAGACACGTGAGTTCATGAAGACGCTTTTAAACTGCAAAGATGAGCAAAACTGAGGTTGGACTAAAAGAGAGAAGGTTCATCTGATTGCGACTCCCCTGTTCCTAGCTGCTGTAATATCACACGCATGAAGTCTCCTGGAACTCAGTTCCCACACTGAGGCTGGCTCATACTTGGCTTCCACATCATCCCAAGTGTCACTGGGAGAGTCTTGCTCCTGTGCAACCCCTCAGGGAGCATGAGACGCACCACTGGTCTGTTCATGAGGCCTGATGGGAATGAAGAGGAGCAGGGCTAAGGGTAGTTAGCACACAGAACTCAGCAGTGTGCTTTCCACGCTGCCGAGGAAGACAGGGGTAGCCATATTATAGAAGCGTGGTCCACAGATTCTTCGGTTTTGAGTGCCTGGATTGGTATTCCACACAGCTGAGTGTCCCTTTTCAATCTTCCATGAGGCCATCCAGGTCAGACACTGCACCAGCAGGGGAGCTATCACAAAATAAAACTTGTGTGTAGCCTGGGCTCAGGGTGCCCTCTTATGCTGAAACAGAATATAACAGTCTGTTCAAAATTCCTAAATGAGCCCACTAAAACAGAACAGTCCAAAACTCCAACTGCAAAGAATGGACAGCAATGTGTGGACAGAGGTGCACATCTAAGGAAAGATAGGCTCAGCCAGCGGAAAAACATGGTGCCCATGGCAGAGTCAAAGACACGGATATGCAAGATTTGGCAAAGAATTGTAAACAGCTGTTGTACAGAAACTCAATCAACCTCAAAAAATAGAAAACTAATTCAGAAACCTATCAGTGAAATTGAAGAGACTAAATAATTATAACAAAAATGTTGGAACTTAAAATACAATAAATAAAATAAGAAATGCAACAGAGAACATTAACATCAGAATAATCAAAAGCAGGAGAATCAGTGAGCTTAAAGACAGGCTATTTGAAAGTACAGTCATAGGGGGAAAAAAACAAACAAACAAAAAAGATAAGAAGGCATAAAGAAAATTTATGAGATCTACAAAACACCATCAAAAAAGCCATTCTGTCACTGGTGTTCAAGGGCATTTGAAGAACGAAACAGGGTAGGATATTTAGTCAAAGAAATAATCGTAGAAAACTATATCTTTCTAAACGTGACAATGAACAGATATCTAACTATGGGAAGTTTAAAGGTCACCAAGCAGATTCACTCAAATAAGACAACTCTAAGACACCGTAATCAAATTCACAAAAGTCAAGGGCAGAGAGGATCATGACACCACCAAGAAAGAATAACAAACAGTACCAGCAGCAGACCTATCAGCAGCACCCACAAGTGATATTCAAAGTGCCGAGGGAAAAAAGAAAAGACTAGCCAGCCAAAATCACGCTACCCACCAAAGCTATTCTTTTGACATGAAGCAGAGACAGACATTCTCAGACAAAAAGTTGAAGAAACTCATTGCAACCAGATCTGTGTTACACGAAATACTAAAGGAAGTTTTCCACCAAGAGAGAACAGGATACTAATGTGTGACATGAAAACATCTGAAGATATAAAACCCATAGGTAAAAGTAAGTAGGCAGATAAATTCAGAATCCTCTAACATGGCAATCATAGGATGCAAATCACTATATTCTTAGTAGGAAGTTTAACAAAATCTGTCAAAATATAAGCAATATAAGATGAAAAATTTGATAACTAAAACTGCAAGATTTTTAAGCGTCAAGATTTTTTATTATGCTTATTTTAGTCTCTTAAAATACAGGTACCAAATAGACATAAAGTGTTCATATTCTTTTCTTTTTTGTAACAAAATCAAGTTCTTACATTCCAAATAACCTGCTTTAAGATATTTGTTGTAAATCATTTAGCAATCACAAAGCAAAATCCTAAATAGAGACAATAAAAATCAAAAACATGGAATCAAAACACACTAATATAGAAAAATTACATAACTACAAAGACAAACAGTAAGAAAGTCCAAAATATTCACAAAACAATCTGAAAAGAAGTAACTATATGGCAGTTTCAAGTCTTTAGCTATCAATAATTGCCTTGAATATAAATGGATCAAATTCTCTAATTAAAAAAGAGAAAATGACTAGATTAAGAAGAAAAACCCCAACTACTGAGTGGTACAAAAGACTTCACCTCTAAGCACATGCATAGACTAAAAGTGAATGAATGAAAACAGATATAATGTCCAAATGGAAGCAGGAGCTATGCTAACAGATAAAATAGACTTCAAGTCAAAACTATAGAGACAAGGGCATCATAGAATGATAGAGTGTCAGTATAATAGGAGGCTATACAGTAACAATCATAAAGATATCTGCACCCAACATTAGATAATTAAATAACTAATGCAAACATTGCTAAACCTAAAGAGATACATAAATAGCATTACACAAGTATCAGGGGCGTTCAACTCTACTTTCAGCAATGGAAGCCCATTTAGACCGAAAATAAAGAAATGACAGATTTAATCCATACCCTAAAAAAAAGCGAGCTTATAGAAGTTTACACAGCATCTCACCCATTAGCTGCGTAATTCACATTCTTCATAACTGCACAGAGAACATTCTCAAGGATAGATATATTAGGTCACATAACAAATCTTACCAAGTTAAAAAAAAATCACCACCAAAACTGAATTTATATCAAGTGTCTTTTCTGATGACAATGAAATAAAACTAGAAATTGATAACCAAAGAAACATTGGAAAAGAAAACACATGGAAATTAAACAATATGCTTATGAACAACCAATAGATCAATGAAAATATTTTTAAAAATTTCAAATTTTCTTTCACAAATGAAAATGGAAACACAACATATAAAGTTTCTAAGATACAGTGAAACCAGTTCTAAAATAGAGAATGTTTATAGCAATAAGTGCTTATATCAAAAAAACTATCAATGCTGCATTTTAAGAAACCATAAAAATAAGAAAAAAACAACCCAAAATTGAGAAAAGAAATAAAGACCAGAGCATAAATAACTGAAATAGACTAACAAAATAAGAAAGAGAAATTATATGAAGTGCTGGTTTTCTGAAAGGATAAATTAGCCAGATTTAGAAAATAAGAGTCAAATAAATTCAGAGATGAAATGGGATACATAACTGTTATCTCAGCAATAATGAACATAATAAACTAATGTGAACAAATCTATACCAATGAACTGAAAAACCTGGAGGTAACAGATTCCTGGATACTATATTTTACCAAGACTGAATCAAGAGGAAATAAAATCTGAACAGACCAATAATGAAATTTGAACAGCGATTAAAAACTCTTCCATCAAAGACAGTAAGAAAGACCAAAATATCCACAAAACAACTCAAAAAGAAATCTAGACTTTGATGACTCCACTCCACTGAATTCCACAAAATATACAAAGAACTAAGATTTTCACAAAGTAGCTGAAAAAACTGAAAATTAGAGAATTCTTCCAAACTGATTTTACCAGGTAAACCTTACCCTGACAGCAACACAAGACAAGGACACAACAACAAAAAAGCTATAGGTCAATACTCTTGATGAACAGATGCAAAAATCACCTACAGAATCCAGCAGCACATCAAAATGATATGCATTATGGCCAAGTGGAACTCACTACAGGATCTAAGGATGGTTTAACATACTCCAATCAATAAATATGAGGCAACATTTTAACAGGACTAAAAGCATAATTTCAACAGATGCAGAAAAAGCATTTGACAAAATTCTATATCCCTTATGATAAAACTCTCCAAAAATTACATATAGAAGGAACGTATCTTGATTATTTTTATTTTATGGAAAAAAGGTAAAATTTCATACAGAATAATAGGAGAACAACAATAGATAATACATTATATATTATCTTTAGTTTCTCAGAGTACAAATATGGTGTGTTTCTTCAGTCGACATTAGCACAGGCCTTCCTTTTTAATGAACTAAGAGACACTAACAGTATAACTGACTTGCATTTTATCCCTTTTCCCTATTTATTTTGCCTCTTTCACCCATCCTAGTTCCTTTTTCCTTTTGAACAATCCCTTCCCATTTCACAATATCTACTGTACCTTTCAGACTTCACTTAGTCGTTCAGTTTCCCACACCAGGGGGACTTTATGATGCTTACTCGTGTGAGGCTGATTTATTTCACTTATCAGTATAGTCTCAACTGCATCCATTTACCTAGAACAGTCTCAAGTTCATCCTTCTTTGTGGCTGAGTAGCGCTCCATGATATAAAAATAACACTTACTTTTTTTAATCCTTTCCTCAGTTGAACATACCTCAATTTAAAAACATCAGGTACAGTAAGCCATAGGCAACACCATACCACACAGGTAAAAGTTAAAAACATTTCCACCTAAGATATAGAACAAGATAAGAAAGCCTACTTTTACTACTAATGAACAGAATACTAGAAGGCCTAGCCAGAGCAATTAAACCAGAGAAGGAAATAAAAGGCAGCCAGTGTGGAAAGGCAGAAATCAAATTGTCCTTGTTTATAGGTAATATGACCCTATATAAAGAAAATTCTTAAAATTGCACTGAAAAAACTGTTAACCCTAATGAATGAATACAGTAAATTTGCGGGATAAAACACCAATATACAAGTCTGTAGTATTCACAGACAATAGCAAATTCAGAAAAGTACTCCTTTTTACAATAATTAGCAAAAAAAAAAAAAAAAAAAATCTAAAACACAAACAAAAAGCCTACAAATAAATTTAAGCAAGGCTGTGAAAGATAGCTACCATGAAAACTATAAAACAGTGATAAAAATGAAGACAGAAAAATGTAGAACTATTTCATGTTCACATTGTGGGAGGAATTAACTGTGAAAAACCGTTCTACAAATCTACAAAATGCCAATCAAAATTACAGTGCTACTTTCCTGAAACAGAATCTAAACAAAAACCTACAATTTGTGTAAACCACAGAAGACTGAATAACGAAAGCCCAGCAAAAACAACAAAACCAGCACTACCTGCCTTCAAAATATACCACAAAGTCGTACTAACCAAAACGGCACATTTCTAGCATAAACACAGATACATGGACTGAAGGAATGAATAGCGAGTCCAACATTTTTGACAAAACAGTCAAATACATAACAAAGAAAAAAAGGACTGTCTCTTCAATAAATGGTGCTGAGGAAGCTGGATCTACATGCAATAGAGTAAAATTACATCTGTCCTTCATCAGATTCAAAAATCAACTCAACATTGTAAGACTTACATGTAACAGCCAAAACTATCACACGACTAGAAGAAAACATAAGGAAAACACTGCTAGAGTAACACTTGTCAGGATGAAGATTTTTTTAGACAAGTTCTCAAAAGCATGAGCAACAGAAGTAAAAAGCACACGGGATTACATCAGACTAAAAGGCTTCTGCATGCAAGAGAAACAAGAGTGAAGAGAACCTACAGACGGGAGAACCTACAAACAGAAAAAATATTTGTGAATTATACATCTGACAGCATGTTCATATGCAGTATCTATAAAGAACTAAAAAAAAATAGCAAAAAATAAAAGCCCTAAGTAATCTGATTAAAAGTTAGAAAAAAGACCTTGAATAGACATTTCTCCAAAGACACACCAATGGCCAACAGATTTATGAAAAAAGCACTCTAGACACTAGGAAAATGCAAATCAGAACCACAGTGGAGTAGCACTTGACTCTGTTAGAATGGCAACCATCCAAAAACAAACAAACAAAAAAAAAAACGCACTAGTGATGATTGGGAGAAAGAGAAACTCCTTTACATTATTAATGGGAAAGCAAATTCATCCAGCCATTATGCAAAATAGTTTTGAAGATCCTTGAAAAATTAAAAACGAATTACCATATGAGCCAGCAATTGCCCTACTAGGTAGATCTATCCAAAACAAAGGAAATCAGTTAAGTTGAAGAGATTAGTTGCATCCCCCCAATACTGCAACACTAAACAGAGAATACAATAGCCAAATATGGACCAGCTTAAATATCCATGGATATTTAAATATCCAATGGATTATATATGGACCAGCTTAAATATCCAATGGATTAATGGACAAATGAAATGTATAGACACACAATACTATGCAGCCATAAAAAGCATAAAATTCCATCATGGTGACAACTTAGATAAGCCCGGAGAACCTTATATTACATGAAATAAGCTGGTCACAAAAAAAAAAAAAAAATTGTACCATCTCATTCATGTATGGACTCTATAAAAAGTGACTTAGTAAAGCTGAGAGTAGAAGAGTAGTTCACAGAGCCTTGTGAGAACAGGGGGAGAGAGACATAGAGAGAGACTGGTCAACAGGTAAAATGTTAGACAGGAAGGAAGAAGGGACGTTCTGATAGTCTGTTACACAGTGCAGTGACAGGACTCCATGCTTTTTTACAGTTCATCATAGTAAACTGTGTATGTATAAACAATGCACTGCATATTTCAGATAAGCACAAGAGAGGATTTTGAGAGTTCACACATCAAGAAATGGTAAATGTTAAGGAAATGGATAAAGAATCACCTTCAGGTGATCATCATATAAAGTATACATGTATGGAAACATAGCATTGCACCCCATAAACATGTCCAATTAGTTGTCAATAAAAAAAATACAAATTCCAATGTTTAGTTAGGAACACGGCCCCTAACAATCAGAACTGCATGTTCTCAGCCCTTCCGTTAGCAGACGAGGCCACATGACTAAATTCTGCCACAGGATGGCGGCAGACCAACAACACATAAAAAGCTTGAATCCTGGCATTTCTGAGTTGGCCCTGGAATGCCTTCTCCAGGCTTTCAATAGGAGAAATAAGTATTAAAACCCAAACCTTTTTAAAGTTCTCTATAACTATTCCTTACTAATATACATTCCAACGTTAGCTACTTCAACAAAATTTAACTCTCTGGTGTGAAAGTATTGTAACTCATACACGGAAAAGTCTCAAAATGTTAAGTTTCTACTACACAGCATGATGAAGACATCCAAATAAAATGATTATATTCACTCATAACTAGTACGGCGATCTCCAAATTTTCCTGTTTTGCAGCAGTAAATCTGCTTTAGCAATGGACACATAACCATAAATTAGTTTGTAATGAAACTTGCTAAAACAGTACAGTAAAAAATACTTTATAATCTTTTTGAGACTACATGAACTATACATACCTTCAGGTTCATACTTCAGCTTTAATTCATCTAGTTTAGCTCTTAGTTTCATATTTTCACTTTCTGAAAGCTGAAGGCATCTTGCATTTGCAAAAAGTTTTCGCTCAATATCCAGGGCCCGCTGGCTCTCAAATAACGCTTTCATTCGCTGGATGGACAGCTCACCTTTGGTGCTTTCATTTTCTTTGCTACAATAGTAATACAGAGAAATCAAATATTAAATATATAATATAAATGCAGCATTTTAAATGTATATTTGAATACTTACATAAAAAATAGTTCTCTAGGGTTTTTAATAACAAAGAGACAATAGCATCCAAAAAAAAAAAAAAAAAAATCCATGCGTTTTTTTTAAAGGAAAAGGACAAAGGAAAAAAGGCATTCAAATATGTCAGTTTTAAACTGTGACATTTATTCTTTAAAAATTTGGATTATAAGAACATTTTTCATATTAACATTCTCTGTACTAATCTATAAAGTTAGAAGGAAAGACATAAGAATTATTCACTAAGTCTTTTTCTTCTACAGTCAGTACTTAGTATAACGCATAAAACTCAGAACATACTATACAAACATAGTTATACTGACTTTACTTTTTGGATATTTGACAATTCAAAAAAAAAACTTGTAGCCATTAATGCTACTTATGTTTTAAGCACGTGGAAAGTCTTTATCTTCCCATCTATCCACTCAGACACTTACTTTAAGTTGTCAAGTTTCAGCTGAAGCAAATCTGTGTAATAGGTTTTATCTTCTAGAACTTCAGAGTTGCCTGGTATGGAAGGCTTAGATTCCATACTTTCACATAAATTCTAAAGAGAACAAAGGTGTTTGTTATTTAAAATACAGAAATTAGGTTGCTATATACTTCTTTACAGCAGCTACTATCTGTCGAACACTCACCATCTGACAGGCATTCTGTTAAGAACTACTCACCTTTTCAGTAAGTAAAACCACCAGCATCCCTTTCTTACAGTTAAGGAAAGTGAATCAAGGTGCCACAGGAAAGTAAACCAAGAAAAGAATATGAACCCATGTCTGCCTCTTAAAACCATGCTTTCAACCATACCTAAGCCTCAAGGTTTCTTCTCTTGGCTTTCAAAATAAAGGCAGCAAGTACTCAGCAGGTTGCATTCTAGATTTTATGAGAATGCCAAAAAATTGAAAAATATGAAAAAGAAAAGAGATTCTTAAAGTTATTTTTGGTATCTGTTCTCCAGATACTGGTGTAAACTGTATTCATTTCTTTAAGGGAAAAGAAAAGCTGTTTATAAGTTATAATTTCAGAGGCTGTAGGTAAAACAAACAAAAAACCCTCTTGATTTAAAATCCAAATTCCCCAATTATAGCATTGAGTCCATTTGTGGACCACAAACATCTGTCAAGTAACATAATGTAAATTTAACCAAAATTTCAACAGTTTTTATAAGAGACAGAATAAAATAATATGAATTTAAAATCTCATAATACAACTACAATCTAGAATGCCTAAGAAATTATCAAATTTTATAAAAATATGTTGTTTATAAAATTTAACCTTTCACTGGGAGGTTAATGAGAAGGTACCAATGTTCTCTATAGGAATTTAAAAATTTATAAATGTACTACAATCCTAATAAAAATACCAATAAGCTTTTTTGGTGCCAGACAAGTTGTTCATAGAGAAAAGCAAACATGCAAGAATAGCCACAAAAACAGTGAAAAGGAAAAGCTATGGTGGGGCCACAGACTTATAGGTAATATGTACGACCAAATCTGCATCAGTTATACACCAATAGGCTAAAGGAAACAACAGAAAATGTAGAAATAGACCCAAGTACATACAGAAACTTGATATATGGTAAACCTGGCATCTCAAACCACTGTGGCCAACATTTAGTAATTGATGACAGTCTCAGTGTCACTTCCTCACCATGTACTTAATAATTATAAAGGGAAAAATGGTAACTTTATGTTATAGAAACTTGGGAGATACAACCAAACAATCAAATTTAATATCCCCAGTAACAGCACAGACGTTATGCACTACCTAATTATAATGCACTGAGAAAGGCACATTACTCAAGTACCACTGTCAAAAACAGTCTCAATCTGGTCACATCAGAAAAACTCTAAATGAATAACTTATAAAAGTAACTGGCTATCCTCTTCAAAAATGTCAAGTTCATGAATGACAAAAACTGAAGAATAAGTCAGATTATGGAGGACTGAAGAAACTTCACAATTAACCACAAAATGTTATTATGGACTAAATCCTAGAATACAATGCATTTGTTTCTTATTTTACTATTAAGATTATTCGTGGCAGGTTGCAAAATGAAGTTAATAATGAGTGAACTCATCTGCATTAATTTCCTAATTTTGATTACTTGGTTATATAAAAAGGACACTCTTCAATAAAACTGAGGTAATTAGGGTTAAAAGACATCTGGTTTGCAACTTACCTCAAATGTTTACAAAAAATACACATCTAGCAAGAGACACAGAGAAAGTAATGAAGCAAATGCAGTAAAACTGACCACTGGGGAGCTCCGGGTAAAAGGCAAATAGTAAGACTTTTACATGTTTTCCAGAAGGGTGAATTTGTTTTAAGATATAACAAATGTAGAGTTTATGGACGACTTCTATGAATTCCAGTAGAGCTGGTTTTAGTTGAAGTAATGTTGGAAGTGACTAAGCCCCATTACACCACGGAAGTAGGCAACACTGAAACAAACCAATTTTGATAACATACAAGACGAAGAAATCTCATTGACATAATATTAAGCAGAAGAGAGAAACGAATGTATTCTAAATGCTTACATTTTGATGAAGCTCAACCATATTTATTCGTGTAATGCTGATTGATATAGTTAGGTGGTAGTACGCCCTTAAAAGTGGCATAGAACCTTTCTGTAATGCTACACATATTTTACATCATGATTTGGATGGTAATTATAAGTGTATGTGTCCTGAATTCACTGGATTGTAAATTAAAGGCACAGGCACTTACAATAATCTTATACTAACAGCAACAAAAATGGAATGGGTTTGTTGGCTCTGCTAAAAGATGAGGTAGTCAAAAATATTCAAAGGCAAAAGGAGGTTAGAAAAAAAATAATTTAAATATCAGGTCAATTTGGGAACTGAAATTTAATTACATAACAAAGAAAGTTCTTTAGGTTCAAAATATTAAGAAATTGAAATCATGGAAGGCAAAAACTGGAAGCAAAGCTTTTTTAAATGGGAAGGGAAGGAGGACCGAAGGGAGGGCAGGGAATGGAAAAAAAAAAGAGGGAAGACATTATGTACAAGTCCAAATTCTCTATGTTGAATACGACCATTATGTATGGCAAATATATACTAACAAAAATTAAAAAACAAAACATCAAATCAAAATTTGACTGCATGTTTAAAGGTGTTACATATACCTTAAATTTTTCCAGATTTCTTATTTCACCTAAAAGATGTTTTATTTCACCATTCTTCTGCTCCAACATGGCAAACAACCGTTCTTGCTGTTCAAATTCAGTCTGAGATCCTTTCATCTGTAGCAATGTGGAAATCTGCAGCTAGAACCCCAACCCCAATAAAACTGAGTGAGATTCTGAGAAGCATTTTTCTGGTACAAGTCATATTTTGTACTATAGTATCTGGAACTGATTTTGGAAACTAAAACAATTACTATTTCTAGTATGATAATTTGAAAACCTAAGTATCAGTAAGTTTTATTGTAAATAAAACTTGACATACATATTTTGAGCATGTGATAACGATGTATAAAGTCTTTAACATTATTATTTGTATTTTTGTGAAATGTAAAATTAAACTGCATGCTGTGGTCTGGAACTATGTTATTTAACTGGTAAATAAGCCTACTCAAAGATTGTCTATAATTTACCCTTTGTTGACATTTATTAAAAATCTGAGGTTTCTGAAAATTAAGATGGGGAAATTAAACTACAGTCAGTCACAAACATGAGGCTCACAACTGACAAGGATGGAAAGCATCACATACTATTTTACTGCTCTAACACTAGAAAAGTTGTGAGCCAGCTCCTATCTATCACCTGCTTCTTTGGTAACTGACATTCTCAAAAGTTAAAATACATGCCCAAGGTCACATAGCTAGCAAGTGACAAGTCTGTGGTTCAGCTAAGTTCATCTGATTTCCAAGTTTAATCAGTGACCTTTCCCATTTCTTTGGTAAAATACCATGCTGAATAAGAAGAAAGCACATTTCTGGTCTTCTAAATACCACCTTAGGCTTATCAAGAACAAGATATCAGAAATCAGGATTCTAAAGACTGGTATATCACTGGAATATTTATTGCCTCAAGTTTTCTGTTATCTCTTATTTGACATGAATAATGAATGCCCAATACAATCTTTAAATTAAGAGGAATTATATGCTTAACTTCAGGATCTTCCAAAAAAAAAAAAAGAAAGAAAATGAAGAGTCTCAATTTCAGTCTAAAATAAGTCTTCATGAGAGAAGAAAGAAATATGAGAGAAGAAATAAATATGACAGAGCTTGTTTTAACTAAAGTAGGAACCATATAGCTGTAATCAGGATGATACCAGGCTAAAGCTAAGAAACAAACTTTTAAATTATTTTTTCTCTATTCACAAAGAAAGTTTCATAGCTCCCTAGGAAGGTTAGTGAGTAACTGTTAAAACAATCAGCAGTTACTAAATATAATACTATTTGTCCAAGATTACTTTATAAAAAAGGATCTTTCAATCAATTAAAAAATATTTTTCAAAAGAAATAATGTAGTTCTAGGAATAATTATCGTAGTATTAAGCACATTTTTTAAAAGAAAAGTTACTTTCTTTGATATATCTGCACATATAATGCTAATACTGTACGAGGTAAGTTTAGTAAGCTTTTAACAGTGACAGCTCTATACCTTCATTCTTTGCATCTGTTCTCTATTAAATACATTTTGCTTCTTTAGGGACTGATACTTGACTTTCATACTTATAAGCTGGCGTTCCATTGCTGCCCTTCGATCTTCCACCTGGAAAGCAGTATGTTTAATTATTTTCACAGTAGATAAAACGTCAACTTAATCGATTCAGCCACTAGAACACTTGAAAGTACCTCTGCAAACAAAGAGTTGCCTTTACTGTTGGGATCTAAGGCTTGCTGGAGTGCCTGATTCAACTGCACTTGGAGATCTTGATTTTCTACCCGAGCTTTCTAAATTCAAAAGAAAATAAGTTAGCTAATGGAGATTAGATAAGCAAAAAAACATTCCATTAGGAACTGGAAACACGAAATTACTGTAATCCCAGTACCTCTAAGGCATTGTAATAAGAAACTGCTTCTTTCTCCCGTTCTTCTTTCTCTTCTTTAAGACGTTCTACCTGGCGCATTAAATTATTACTGAGACTTTCTAGTTGTTCCTGTCTGTATTGTAGCTCATTTACTTCTTCTTTGAGGGTGTTCTAGTCAACAGAAATTGAAAAAAAGAAATTATCTTCCATAATCTTTCATTTACCAGTTTCTCAGTTTTTCTGAGAGGTGGCTCACACCCCAAACTAAAACTAAGAACGCCTCAAAGGTTAGATGCACATTAGATTATTTTTAAGTACTTGAGTTTTCCAACAAGGATAATAAAAGGCTTTAATGATTGACTTTCTTTCCTATCAATTTAATGCTTTCATTTTTAATCACCTATATGCTGACCCATACGCAAATCTAAATTTGCATGAATTTCAACCATTGTGCTCACATTTTCTGTTGAGCTTTTATGACACAAACTAGCATCAGAGTAAATGCCTCTAAATCCTTCCAGAGGTTTCATTAATCTAAATATAAAGACTGCCTTGCATAATCCAGCAACCTAAAACTACTGCATGAAGCAATCTACCTAAAAACTCTATAAAACCTTTTTTGATTAGTTAGATCAAAGTTGGGTTAAAAATGTTTCAGCCTTCAAGCCACTTCGTAAGTATTATTACAAAAAATGAAAAAAAAATATGCTAAAGAAAAAAGAAAACACATGCTCTAAAAATTACCTTCATACTTTCCGTGTTAGTCAGCTCAATCTGAAGAGCCAGCATTTCTGAAGACATGCTTTCATGTACACGCTCAGACATCATCTGTATTTCCTCTGATTTATGAGCCAGGAGTTCCTTCTGGTGATCTACTTTATGTTTCAATTGCTTTTCACTAAGCCTTGCTTCGTCTAACTCTGCTTTCAGTTTTTCTAACTAAGGGAAAAGAAAATTAATAATCTTATAAAGCAGAAGGTATTTTCTTTCTGAAAAACACTACTAAGTGGCCCAAACTTTGTGTATGATGACTACTGGAGTGTTCTACTTGGCCAAAGCAGGCATCTTTTAACAGACAGTCATTCATTCTATTCTGTGTTATAAACACAGAAATATTCCACACCACTGATCAGACAGAATGAGCCTGATTCTTAGAAACAACATGAAGTCAGTGCTGCTGACCAGTGAGGTGCTGTGTTAAGACTACAGCAGGAGTCCAGGGGAGAGATGGTGTCTGGATAGAGTAGCACCGAGATCAAGATTTTCAAGGTCAGTTTACTGATGAATAGAGAGAAATAAATGAGAAATAAAATATTGACAAAACTCCAAATATTTGACACAAGATGGTTGAGAACATCAGTAAGACTGTAAATTTAATTCATTTAGTCTCTGCCTATCAAAAAAAGCCATTTCTATAACTGGTTTTGCTTTAGCACCTGAATAGTCCCTAATAATGATAGCTACTACTAAGAGGCAAAACAACACCCAGGGAGAAAAGAAAAAACTATGTCATTACCAGTTATTAGTCTCTCAAATCACATTTAGTTCCAGACAAGCTGGATTACTGTCTGTCAGGGTACTGCAAAGTGACCCTACTACACAAAAGCATTAGGTAGGCTTGTTTTACTGCGTATTTTTAAAAAACCAGCTCAAACATCCAATTTCATTAATAGCATCACCCAAAATGAGAACACATTTAAAAAGAGTTAATTTAATGAAAAATTAGGTAATGGTACAGGTAGTATACAGACATGAAACGTTTTTGAAGATGGTGCACAAAAATTTAAAATTAGAAAACAGACTTCTGAGAAAAGAGGAAAAAATTCAAGCAAATATTAGTAAAGGTCCAGAAAATTCGGGACCCTACACAGAGAGAAGCCATCATAAAAGATCTGAAATCCATAAAGCCATCTAAAGGTACTGGATACTGGCGGGTGCTGAGAGGGAATGAGCAGTCATTGAACAGTTGCTATCTATTTTGTATTTACCTCTGAAATGCAGCCAGTATGTACTATGTATCGCTAGACCACAGAGGCTCCAGAGTCGGCCAGCCTCAATTCAAATTGAGATCGACAATTTCCAGCTCACTTATTTTGTCCAATTTACTCAATCTGCCTAAACACTGGCTTTCTCATCTGGCACAAGAAAATAATAATGGTACTTCCCTTATTAAGTTATTGTAAGAATTGTGTCATATATATTTTTCTTCAATGAACAAACTATAAAATATCAATTCTAATGGACATCACTTTAAAAAGGAGCTCCTGGTTTGTTCTGCAGAACTTCACAGTATGTCACTTAGCTGCATTAAAGGCCAGGGGATTCATCTTTCTGCAAGGGCACTGGCATACAATGTACTCTAAGCCGGCTACGCTGGTCACTGAACCAACTCTACCACAAATACCCAGTAACAAATTAAATGATGGTAGGTTATTAGAATGCTACGACTTATGTAAGCCCCTTAAGTAAACTCTTATTTCTCAGGGTTCTCTCTTCCAACATTAAGATGATAGAGGGCTTAATCTTGGCTACTTTGTATAGATGCTGCTGAAGAAAAGTTTCATAACCTAATAATTCACAAGTGATTACATAAACATGGGATTTTTTGCTGGGAAACACAGACATCCGCACCTTATCTTTCAGCTCATTCATTTCTTGTCCGTGGCTTCTATTCAGCTGCTCTTCTAACTGCTCCAGCTGCACTTTCTGTTGCTGTTTAATAGCTTCACATTCACAGTTCAAACTTTCTAACATTCGACTCTTGAGTTCAACCTCTCGCTGAAGAGTGTATTTGTCCTGTTCATAACTCTGAAAATAGATTCATTTACAATTCAATTACATAAAATTACTCAAAGCCATTACATAGAATCAGTTCTCACCTTTAATTGTTTCATTCTATTTCATATGTTTGCTGCTTTCCATGTAACAACCACATGTTACATCTGGAATAACTTCAGAGCTAATTAGTCTTAATGAAGCCCTAAGGTATTCTGTGAGACTATAGTAGTCTCAAACACTGAAGCTGAAGTTTGTACAGCCTTGGTACCAGAAAAGGCTCGAGGTTACCATTTCCCAATCAGTGGGTCTCTACGCTAGCAGCCAGAACTGGGAAGGGAAAATGGGATAGTGGAGAGAATTTCTAGATTCTAAAGACTAAAAACCTCACATTGTCCAGTACCATAAGGCTACCTTTAAAGGTTCTTGCTCTAGGCTGGAACATCAACTGCCACGGCAGTGCATCTTATCTCATGCTGACCAGAAACTAGGCATTTGACTGAATACTAGGAAAATAAGCTACTTTTTAGTTAACAGGCAATTTTTTAAGTAATTAAGCTATGTTTTAGTTTGGTTCTTGTCAAATATGGAGTCCACTTGAAAGAGATCAAGGAAAAGTAAACAGACTTTTAGTAGCAAAAGACCAGAAACACTGCACTAGAGAGAGAATAGTCTTACAGAGATATTCAACTTTTCATCCTTCCATCCACTCTCCAAATATTTATTAAGAATCATGCAAATATGCTAGGTGATAGAAATTCAATTATAAATAAAATGTGGTGCCTGGTCTCAAGGAAAGTAATCTAAAGGAATAAACAAACACAAAATTCACCAATAAAATACCTCATAGTAACTGGCATTAAAGCTGAGTATGGGACCAGAGTAGGTTTATAGGAGGAAGTGATTTTAAACTAGCAGTGGACATAGGCCTAGATGTCACACATGCCGATGTATAAAACATAACAGAATAACTAACTAACAGGACAGATTGGGTGTCAAAGATTCCATACAGGGTCAGATGTCATTTCTATCTTATTTGTAAGGAATACATTCTAAGACCACTATGGATGCTTGAAACATCAGAAAATACCACACCCAATCTGTACTATTATTTTTCTCTATATACATATCTTTGATAAAGTTTAATTTTACATTTGGCACAGTAAGACACTAATATCGTAACTAATGATGAAATAAAACAATTATAACAATATGCTATGAACAAGCCATACGAATGGGAGCTCTTAAAATACCTTGTTATACTATAGTCATCTTCCTTGTGATGATGCATGTCTGTAATCCCAGCACTCTGGGAGGCTGAAGCAGAAGGATGTCAAGTTAAACCCACATGACATAACTGAGTGACTTAACGAGAGCCAGTCTCAGGATAAAAAATTTAAAAAGGGACAGGGGTATAACTTAGTGTAAAGCCTGGATTTGATCCCTAGTACCACACTAGAGGTATAGCAACGGCTTCTAAGCTCTGTGAAGTAAGTAAAAACTGCTCCATGGCATGTCAATGTATCAAGTAATCTTGGCTATGGGAGAGAAAGGAAGTAAAAAGATTTATTAGCACTTAAACTTTGCTAGTGAGCATTACTAGTCTGATAGTGAAATGCTCCATTTGTAGCTCTGAAAAAATGAAGCAATAGTAGACTAGAAGGCATATGAACTAGCTTTTACTTTTAGAACACAGTCATCTGAGAGCTGTTTACAAAATGACTACTATGATGATAAAGTGCTGAGACAAAAGTACTAAAAGGGCTTTGCCTTGCTTAGAGGACATTTAGAGATAAACAGGAATCAGTTCCAACTGCTTCACTAAGTTTTACACAGATAACACAAAATTCAATTAAATTAGAGAAAAAGACCTAAAACATTCAATATTCTCCCCAAAGCTTTTCTGTTTCAAAAGAAGGCAGAAAAACATCAGCTGGTAAACAAACACCTGACTTTGATGAGTTGCTTATTAAAACAAAGTGTAACATGGCTTAGTTTTCTGTTAGACTTGTCATCGTTGCTTTGTGACTTGATATTGAGCTCTTGGTCAAGAGTAGCATTACATGGAAAATCAAAGGCAATTGGTGGCTATTTTTTCTTGCCATATTTATGATAGGAGATTTAAGTTTAAATGTAATAGTGCTCAATACATTAAACAGATTTATTCAGTTTTTAAAAAATTCATGTGGCAGGCATTAGGAATACAGCAGTAATCAAGAAAAACAAAACAAAACAAAACAAAACAAAAATCCCCCCACTTTTATGGAACTTATAATACTGGGAATCATTACCACTTCACAGAATTAAGAGTCAATGATAGAGCTGGGGATTTAGCTCAGGGCTATAAGCATCTGCCTGGCACATGCCAGGTCATGGGCTCGATCCCCGGTACGGGGGGGGGGGGGGGGGGAGACACACACAGAATCAATGATAAAAAACTTTATAGTACTTGGTAAGAGTGAGCCTCTTTGCTAAAGTGACATTTAACTGAAATCTGAAGAATGAAGGCTCAATCCATGAAGAATGGGGAAAAAAGCATTCAGTAGGTAGAAGCAGCATAATGCTCATACAAGATTGGCGTAGCCTCTTCATGGATAGGATAGGAAGAACCAACATTGTGAAAATGGCCATAACCCCAAAATTCTTCTACAAATTTAATGCAATCCAGATCAAAATGCTATTAGTATGCCTCACAGATCTAGAGAAAACATTCCTAAAATTCATACGGAACTGTGAGAGACCTAGAATAGCAAAGGCAATCCTGGGCAACAAAGGCAAGGCAGAAGGTGTCACAATCCCAGACTTGAAATTATACTGTAAAGCTGCTATAATAAAATCAGCGTGGTACTGGCAAAAAAAAAAAAAAAAAAAAAACCCAAAAAACAAAACAGATCTAAGGATCAATTGAACAGAACAAAAGATACAGACACAACTACAAACACTCAGCCACCTCCTCTTTGACGAAGGGACTAAGCATGTTCACAGGAAGACAGCTTCTTTAATAGGTTGTATTGGAAAAACTGGCTTTCTAGAGGCTGAAGACTTAAACTAGACCCATGCCTACCACCATGCACTAAACTTAAGTCAAAATGGATCAAAGATCTAAATTTAAAATGGAATCACTAAACCTAGTGGAAGACAAAGTAGGCAGAAGACTCAAGGACAGGGTTAGCCTGAGCATTCATAAACAAAAACCAAACTGCACATATAGGAAGTACTTCAAAGAATCAACTGGGGTGTTTAAGAAGTTTTTGCACATCAAAATAAATCATCAACAGAGTGAAAAGAAAAACCACAAATTAGAAAAAAAATTTTGCCAACTGTCCCTCAAAGGACTTTTATCGAGAACGTTACAAAGAATTGAAAAAAATGAGGCCCCTCGAATTTAAAGACCCAAACCAAAAATGGGCATCTGAGATGAATACACACTTCTCATATGAAGAAATACAAATGGCAAATAAATACATGAAAAAATGTTCAACATCATTGATGATTCAAGAAACATAAAGTAAAACTACTCTGAGCTTTCAACTCACTTCAGGAAGAATGGCTAACATCAAGAAATTAACAATAACAAATGCTGGCAAGGCTGTGGGGAAAAAGGAACATTTCTCCCTTGTTGGTGGGGTTGTAGACTGGTAAAACCACTGTGGAAATCAGCATACAGATTACTCAAAAAAAGTCAGATTAGAGGTTCCATTCAATCCAGGTGTTCCCTTTCTGGGTATCTTCCCAAAAGAACTGAAAACATCATACTACATTGATATATATGCACCCATGTTTATAGAGCCCAACTTATAATTGCTAAATCTTGGAAACAACCTAAATGCCCATCAACTGAGGAATAGATAAAAATGATGTGGTATTTTTATATAACGGAATGTTACTCAACCACAAAAAATGATAAACTTGAGGCTTTTATAGATAAATAGATGCAACTAGAAACCACACTCATAAGTGAAATAAATCAGACTTGCATGTTTAAATACCATATTGTCTCGCTAGCGTAAAACACTGAAAGAGTAAATCAGATCCAAAAGTTACAATAGATATAGTAAAAGGGAAAAAAACTGCTCAAAGGGAAATTTTATTGTTTGATCCATCTTGCATGCCTGTATCTGATAGCCTGAGCAATTACTTTGAAGATAACAATATATAATATAACAACCATTGTTAAATTCCTATCATCTTGTATTGAAATCCTATATTGCCATTGTTTTTTGTTATTGTTGTCATTTTGCATTTGTTGTGGTTTTTAATTGTTCATTTGCTTCTTGAGTTTTCTGGGTTTTTTTTCTAAAATAGAGAAAAAAAAAAAAAAAAAGACTCGTCTAGCCAAGAATAGGAGAAAGTAATCTGATAGGAGGAAAAAAGTTCAGTCAAGGCAGGTGTGGTGATGTAGACCTATAATTCCAGTTACTTGAGAGACTGTCAAGGGCAGCCTGTGCAACTTAGCAAGACTCTATCTCAACAACAACAAAAATGGCTTGGGATGTCATCCAGTGGTAGAGCACTTGACTACCATTAGAAGGGCCTTGGATTTAATCCCTAGTGGTGTTTACAACTGAAGAATTAGCCAGAGATCAAATTGCACACAGATCTACAAACCCAAACAAAGAGCTGAGATTTTGTTGTATATATGACTGAAGCTTATGGCTTTTAACAAGGAGGTGATGTGATCTTCCAGCCCAACTTGGCTCGGCTACTAAACTTACAATGAGTTGATGAATGGCAGAGATGGAAGCGGGCAACCTGGGTTAGGAGAGCAGAGTATTAGTCTAGTAGAAAAAAGATGGTGAATTGGACTAGAATAGCCATAGCCTAGATAGATGTTATACAGGTCAAATCTTTAGAATTTATTGATTTGTGGAACTGCAGACTTGTTAAATGTGAGATTCCTAAATTTTTGGCTCAAGTAACTTGATGGCTGTTATTCTATTTACTAAGGAAATGAAAAAGGAATGCTTGATTAGTGGAAAGAATTCTGCTCTGTTTATGTCAAGTCTGAGATATCCATTAGGATGGTTGAACACTTAGGATTTCAGGGCAGAATTAAGGGATTAAGGCACTTAGAGCTCCGAAATAAGAGAAGTCACTTAGCAGAATGTGGAGAAAACAAATCTGATAGTAATTGTGGTAAAAGGAGCAATTGTAACTTGATTTTTCAAACTCAAGAACACATTGCAGTGGAAATACTAGGAATTCATTTAGTTTATTCTACTAATGGCATTAGGATTGCAATTAGGAATCAGCACTTCAGAAAATAATAAAATGGTAAGTGTTAAACCAAATAAATCTTCAAAAGCTAAGCATGTTCTTGTAAACAGAGGAACCCACAGCCCTACCTCAGTCATGGTCATCATTTCGTTACGGTATTTATCCAGTTGATTCTGCAGTTCATTCTGGCTCTCTAGCAGTTGTAAACCGTACTGTGCAGCTGTCAGTCGCTCTTTTTCAACCTCTTTAAGCTTGCTTCGAAGATCTGCAATTATATCTGCCTCCATGGTCTTTTCCTATTTTTAGCCTACTTTAGAGGAAATACAATTTATGAATTCACAGAAAAACTCCATGCAATTATATCAATAATAAAAGAAACACATATTCCATGCCAATGTCTGGTGAAAATACAGTATTAAGATTTTCTTTCTAACTTGCAAGTGCTCAAATCTGTGTCCCCACTGATCAAGAAATAATTTGATCATTTTGTTACTTGATTTGCATTCAAATCAAAAACAGTACATTCACTCTGCTCCTAAGAAATTCATCATCAGGAAAATATTTGGTCACTGTGTGCTAAGTGTGTATGAATGCTAAGGTACAGTTGATCTCATAATTGGGTCATTATCCACATAACTGAAATTAAGAGAAAAATGAAACAAATCAAGACCACTACTTAGAGTACAAAGAGACAGCTTTAAATAAGGCTTACTAGGTAAATAAAGCAAGGAATATTACAACTTATTTTTACAAGAGTGTTACCATTTCTGCATATGTTGAATTTGCTTCACTGTAGAGAGCCTCACTAAGAGGGCGTGTAAAACAGAAACCATGTTCAAAGCACTCAAAGGACCTTGTTCTCATTCTAGATTTTCAAGTTAAAACTTAAGCATTATATAAGACCACTCCAATTCAAATTGACTTATCTTCCTTTCTTATTGGCCCCTTCTCTTTCAAACCAAACTGAAACTGGGCTTTGCCTTCAAAGAGCAACAGGCCATTACTGTGGTATTTCACCACATCTTAAGTCAATGAAGTTATGCATTCAAGTATTTCTTGAATACCTTACCTGCTGGACTCCATTCAGGCATTTCAAAATCCTTTAAGAATATAACAGACAAAAGATTTCCTCCTTCATGTAACTTACCTTCGAGGAAGGGAAGGCGAAGAATAAGCAACAACATATTAATGAAATACATTACAAAACGGAAATTTAAAAAACAACAAAACAAACAGAACCAGGCAAGGGAACTCAAAAGCGATGCATAGTTCAGTCAGGAATCAGAGGTGAGAGAATTAACTATGTACTTTTTTAGAAAAGGGTGTTCCAGATGGGAAACCCTAAGGTAGAAAGCAAGCCTAAGTAGTAAACTAGAATTTAGGTGAGAGATAAAAGGCAGAGTGGTATCTGCTCATGGTGGTGCATGCCTGTAATCCCAGCACTAGGGAGGCTGAGGCAGGTGGATCACTGTGAGGTCAAGGCCAGCTTGGGCTATAGTGAGTTCAAGGCCAGCCTCAACTACATAGCAAGACCCTGTCTCAAACAAAACAAAACAAAACAAAACAAAACGGGGATGGGAAGATCATGTCACTACAAGCACTGCACGGCTTCTACTTCATGTAAAATATGGTCATTCCAAAGCTTAGAGTAGAGGATCTGATGAAATTTAAGAGGACCATGTCCTTGTTGTGTACAATAGTCAGGGGGAAACACAATTTAAGACAGACTATGTGAGACAATGTTTCAGATTAGGGTGGAGTACAGCAGACAGGAAGAAATGGCCAGATTTGCAGTATTTTTTAAGGTAAACCCAATATGACTTTGCTGGTAGAAAGAAAATAGCAAGTATGAGAAAAGAGAAGAATTTAAAATGCCTCCTAAACTTCTGCCCTCAGCAGTTAGTAGGATGGAGTTGCACTCAGTTGAGGCATAAAAAGAATGTTTTACAGGGAAAAAAAAAAAAAAAAAAAACCCACCCAGATATTCATATTTTGGACATGAAAGATATCAAGTACACAGTTAAAGTATGAGAAGAGGGGTCGAGGGTCCTGCTATGAATTTTGAAGCTATCAGCATAAGTCCTATCACCAGAGGATGAGTATAATTAAAAGAGGATCGAATACTGAGCCTCCTTTGAACGTGGGAAGGAAGACAATGAAATATGCCCAGGAGTTTCCAATGAAATAGGAAAATTATGAGTGCTGTCCTGGAAACCAATACACAAAGTTTAAGAAGGCAGGAGTGGTAGATCATCTCGAAGGCTTCTCCGTGGTCACCCCGAGTGGTTTTGATGGAGAAGTTGGGTGAAGACATGACTGGAATGAGTTTGAGAGAGAACAGCAACGAAAGGGGCAGAAGATGAAAGGGACAGGATCCACAGTTCAGCTGCAAACAGCAGAGAAATGAATCTGTGTTAGAAAAGTAAAGTACGCTTTTCTTGGTTTTTTAAAATTTTAAGATGGAAATATAACAATATGTTTGTATACCACGAAACGAATCCAAAAGAAAAACTGATGATATAGGAAACTCTTGAGGACTGTGACAGTGACATCCCTGATTAAAGACAACAAGATCTAATTACAAGGAGTGAAACATGGATATTCATTTAAAATAAGGAAAAGCAAAACATTCAAGTTCAGATAACTAGGCAGAGGGGTTGATAACTAGGTAGACTGGTGGGTAAATGTTTAAATGATTCTCTAAATATTTCAACTTATTGAATTAGGATGCAGTTTCTTTTTTATTGGGAACAAACATGAGGGAGGACATACAGGGGTTTAGGAGAGGAGGGGAAAAAGTATCTTGTATTTTAAAAGGCCTTGTATTTACTATTTTAAAACATAAGACTTAAAAACTATTTTTTGAGCCTGTATATTATGGAACCAACCAACCGTTCCACTGTTAATAACTTACATGAGTATTTACCATTTGCCAAGCCAAGTGCTTCCACTCTATTACCTCATTTAATTCTTTTCATAATCCTAAATTTAAAGAACTTCATTTACATCTACAAATGCAAAAATGTAGTCAATCTGAAGGCATTCCACTGGGGAATATGTTAAACACACACACACACACACACACACACACACACAAAGATCAGTTCTTATTCATTCAGAACATTTACTTAAATTTCTATTGTTTCAGATATTGGGCCAGTGCTGAAGAAATCACTAAAAGATATGACTGTGTTCCTGAATCTTAGTCTATTAATAGAAAGGTGCTAAATAATTGAACTGTAAAACTACAAGTGTGAAAAGAGCAAAAGGGAGAGATGAATGGTGCTATCCGAGCCTATAAACAGGGGAAACGTCCTAATCTCCTAGTGTTAGAGGGTGGGGCAGGCTAGGAAAGAACATGGACAAGAGGGATTTTCTTGCAGAAGTGACTTTTCATCAGAGATCTACAAGATGAGAAAGAGTTTTTCTATCAACCTACAAAGAAACATAGCCATGGCTGAACAAGCAGAGTAATATGTGCACAGGGGATTTTGCAATCCTCTCAACAACCTTATAAAGTCGAAAGTATTTCCCTCATTTTAATATGTGCAATCTTAATGAGGCACCGAAAGGCTGAGTAACACACCCATGCTTATCAGCTAAGACAGACACAGAACAAAGTCTAGCGTCACCTCCCTAGTGCTCCAACCACTGTTTTGCCTTTCCTTTCAAAGCACAGCACACATAAAGCATATACAGAAGACATGGAGCTCTGGGAATCAATCGGCCTCAGTTCTTATCTCACCTCTTTCACTCACTGGCTGCATGAATTTTAATAACTTATTTAACGTTTTGTTTCATCATCCTTAAGGCGAGGAAAGTAACGACATCTAATGGGGTTGTGGAGAACAGTAAAACTGATAATGGATGCAAAGTACTGGACCTAGGCCATAATCTGACACGGGTAAGGCAGCTGAGTTCAACAGAAACATAACGCGAGTCACATACGTAATTTATAATTTCCTATGTGTCACAGTAAACAAAATCAACACATGAAAAAAATGAATCTTAAAAATAAATCTAAAATATAACTTTAATAGGTAATCATTACAAAAATTGAGACAGTACTTTTTGGATATCGTCTTTAAATCCGCTTTGAATTTCACATTTGCAGCATTTAATTCGGGTTGCCACAGTGCCCAGGGGCTACCTTACTGGACGACGCAGATCCAGTAGTTATCAACCCGAGGCTCAAGCAGCCGGCTATATTAAGAATCCCGGAAGGCAGCCAGAAGGTCCATCGCAACACTGAGGCCGGCACGGAAGCCGATTTATAAGAATTCAGGGTTCCGGGAGAGAAAGTTCCAACTAAGGATCCACCGAAACCCAGGCCCCACGTTTACTGAGGCCCTGCTCAACCCCGCCCTCATCCACCCTTTCTCTCCACAACCACCCCCACCAGGCCTTTAGCCCTCACCTCTTTCCTCACTCCTCCTCTAGCTGCTGCAGCCCCTGATTCCAGTAAGAGCTCGGAACGCCCCGATTCACTAACCCTACCTCACCAATGAAACATCCTCCCATTCATTCTGCAAGTCTCCGCTAAGCGCCAGGGCTTTTTGAATGCAGTTCCCGCGAGAACTAGCACTTATCACGAGACACTCCGCCCAGTGGCTTTTGGAAGGAAGACATTGAAACCCTCCTCCGGAGTGCCCCGCCTACTACAGCGACTGCGCAGGCGCAAATGACGAACCCTAGGTTTGGCGCAGGCGTAGACCGTGTCCTCTGGTCCGTCCAGTTTAGAGAGGCTTGTTTTCTTGGGTGTCTTTAGTTGGGATTCTGTTTGCCTGTTATTTACGGCAGGGCTTTGTGGAGGAACAGTGTCACAAGTACAGAATCTCCATCGTTTGGTACCCTTGTATCAACCTTGTCCACCCTGCCGGGAGATTGGCTGGCGTGATCTCTGAAGCCCTTCCCTCTGGTCGTTTACTAGTACAGAAACTTGAATCGGTGACAGTGCCTAAAAGCCTATTATGACAGAATCTCAGTGACTATTATGGAACAGGGTGACAGTTATTATGGCATTTAGTGTGTGCACCTTGCCCAGTACAGTGCTGAATTTTACATGAATCATCTCATTAAAGCCCAAAAGCTCTAAGAGGTGGACATCAGGCAGGACCCCTCGTTTTCCATAGAGGGAAACAAAACTCCAAGAAGAAGAGTGACTTGTCTTCATGATAATTTGAACTAACGCAATATACTAACGCAGTATGACTGTGAAGTCCGGGCTCTTGGATGAATGTCTGTTTAATATTTTGTAAACCTGATGTCTGTTCAAACAGTCAAAGGATAATAGCTAATAGTCACTGAACATAACCTAGCCCTAGCAACTGTGATGTGGATCCTGTTCTGCTCCTGTCTTTGCTTGCCTATTTAAGGGCTTGGCGGTAGCTCCTTTCCTGCTCATTAGTTTTTCTTTATTGGATCTTCCTTAACAACAGGTAAAGGTATGATAATGACTGTCATTGCAAAAGAACCCCACTAATTTCTCTGATCCCAATCAGCCACGAATCCATGTGTTTGCTTCAATTTATAACAAAATACCTGGGAGGCAATGCATTCACCGTCTCCATTTCTTAGCTTTACTCTGCCTCCCTCGCTCCCTTCAAAAGAGGTTTATTCCCAAAGAATACAGTAAAATAGTTCTTGTCAAGGTCACGTCGATTTGTTGTCATTGCTGAGGATTGAATTAAGAGCCATGTGGATGCTAAGCTAAGTGTATGCTCTATCTCTGAACTGCAATACCACTCTTCAGTGACTTTTATCTTGTAAAATCCACTAGTCAATATTTAGGCCTCTCTACACCTAATATTTGCAGTGTTGATAATTTCACAGAGTTTTTAGTTTATGTCTAGGATGCCACACCCTTCTTGATTTGTTCTTAGTTTCTTGAGATAAAGCAGATTGTAAAGGTTTTATCTGAGGTTTAAGATAAGCAACAATGATGCCTTCAAGCCGACTTATCTGGTGCTGAAATGAGCCAGATGTACAGTCACTTGTAATCATCTCCATGCTTTCAGCTAAATAAAGCAAATTCAATTTTTCCTATCGTTTAGCAAAGATTCCTTAATTCAGGAGTCAGGAAGACATCTAACCTAGGCCAGACATGACCAGCTAAAATTATGTAATCTAAAATCTTTCTGAATATTTTCTTCTTTGTCACAAGAGAAGGAAAATTCTATATTATCATTCACATTTCTTCCAATTCTATTTTTTTAGAATATCTTTTTTACTGTATTTTTGTAATACATAATAATTATATTCCTTTGGAAAACTGTTACATATGCATATCACATTTTGGTGATTTTTATTTCTTCCCCTAATTATCTCCATTCTCCTACAGATCCTCTCAAGGGTCTCCCTGTTTCCTACCATCTCTCTTCTATTTTGCACTTTAAATATTATATTTTGGGTCCATCGGGGAAACAATATAGCTATTTTCTGTGTTTGATTTCTTTTGCTTAGTATTACAGTCCCAGGACCTATTTCTCTCTCTCTCTCTCTCTCTCTCTCTCTCTCTATATATATATATATATATATATTCATCTCTTCATATATATACACAAATATATATCCATGTCTTCTTGTATATACATATATATACATCTCTTTCTCTCTCTATATATATATATATGTGTGTGTGTGTGTGTGTGTGTGTGTGTGTGCTAGTTGAGTGATCATAATACACTAAGACATACTGGAAGGAATTTAAGGGTGTGATAAACTATCTGTACTATCTGGAATATGTTCCAACATTAGTAGAGGATTTAAAAATGTGTAGAACTACAGGGCTATATGTAAAGACCATCTGGGCAGAATATGCCCTATACTAAACGAATTATGTGAGGGGAGAGGTCTGTTTTGTTTGATATTCCTTTAGAACTTCACAGTTCAGGTAGCCACTTCAGAGAGAGCTCTCAAAATAGTTCAGGTAGACCTTTGAAGGACTACAGTGCTAAAGGAGAGCACATGCAAAAGGGAAGGAAAGCATTAGCTAAGTCACAGAAGATACCCACATCATAATTGATGAATAAGGTTTGGAGGAGTTCATTGATCTGTTCTAGATTCATTTACTGGGCCAAATAAGCTAGTCCAATATGGAACTAATGTTGAATAGCAAACAAACAAATGAGCCTTAGTCCCTGCAGCTGGGCTTCAGGCACGTGTAGGTAGCCAGCTGATTCAAATCAAGATGTTGACCTATAACTTACCAAGCTGTCTCTGCATAGTTTTGTGTTCTCTCCATAACTACTTCTTGGTCAGTATCTTGCAGGAGCTCTTTAAATCTCTTCTCATTCTGAGGGCTGATTTAAGAATTGAAATTCAATACTAATTAAGATATTTGTTCGTTGTAATTGTCTTTTTGACATAAGCTCATTCCTTAGAAATAATCTGAATATGCTGCTGTTGATACTATCACTAAACATTAGATGCCACAAATGAAATATGGATTATTTCTTTTCATTAGATTAACTTTTCCTTTTCATTCACAGTTCCGAGTATAGATTCTTATATCTAAATGATGCTCATATATCATACTTTAAATACCAAAAGGTCAAAAGAGCAAAATAAAATACACTTTATACCTGTCATTTTGAATTTACATAATGAGAAACGGGGCAATATATCCCCATACAATAGTGTATTCACTAGGCATGGGAAGGATCTATAAATGTTGCAAAACAACAACAAAAAACCCCACCATGATCCCCCCATTATGATTCCTAATTTTATAACTTCAAAACTGGGATATAGTGCTATGATAAACTTGCCATCTCTCTTTTGTTACGACTGTTTTTAGTCCATTCAGTTTTGAGAAATGATGCAGAAAGGAGAATTGCATTGATATGAAAGACTGTATTTATTTTGCCACAAACTTAATAATTATTTTTGGTAAGCAGTTGCACAGACCTGTTCAGTCATCAGCCCATAAGCTGCATCTTGCCTGTTGCCACTAGGTGACAGTCTTTACAAATATTTTATATGAAAGGCCCATCTTTTTTGACATAGAAGTTAGACTCAGTTGGGAGAGGTGATTAGTTGCTAGTTTTAGATGGATTACAACCACCGTGAACTTTTTGTATCATTTAAAACTCCAAAAGGTTCACCATCGCTGGATTAGCCAAATGCACATATTTTTCATAACCGGCATGCTTTGTCATTGGAGACCATAGTTATTCTTTATCTGGAATATTCTTTTCTCTGCTTCATTTGTCTCATCCTTTTCTCTGTAGAAAGTCTGTGGCAAATGGCTTTGAATATTTTATGTAAACTGGACACAACTGCACCTGCCTATAATCCCAGCTGCCCATAAATTTGTGGCAGGAGGATCATGCATTGAAGGTGAGTCTGGGCAACTTAGTGTGACACAGCATCTTAAAATAAAGGGGGCAGGGATATAACTAAAAGGTAAAGCACTTGCCTAGCAACATGAGCAAGGCCCTGAGTTCAATCCCCAGAACCATAATACATACGTATATGCTCTGGATTCATCATCCAGGTTAAAGTACAAGATCTGTTACTTCCTAGCTGGGGTAACTTTTGACCAGCTAACTGCACTAAGTCTGAGTTTCTTTATGTACAAGAAGGGATAATGAAAGTACCCAATTTAATCGAGAGTAATGAGGTTCAAATGAACTTTTAATGGATTTTTTAGATAATGTCACTAAATGTTACTCATTATAATCAAGAGCATTTTCTCAGGTCTAATGTCACTCACTCTGTGATCACTTTTTGGGGCTGCTAGCCTAGGGCTTGTCCCTTTCCTGCAGTTCATTGAACTTGTGCTTTTCCTAATACTTATAATAGTCTGTAGTAATTGGTGTTTGCCCTCCTCCTTAAACAGTAAGCTCTTTGAAAATGAAGAAGTCTTGTATCTATTTTTGTCTACTATGCTCTCTCCCAGAAAGTGCCATAGAACCTGGGATACATGAGGGCTTCCAAAGTTAAATTCGAAGAATGAATTTCAAAAGCATTCAAATCCCTATTATTAAATGCAGCTCATTAATTTAAAATAGGAATCCATAAACTCAGATATGAGACATGAAGTTACCTGTAAGAAATGCATTTTATTCTGAATGCTAAGTGAAAAAATGCTGAACATTTTTGTATCAGTTTACATGGAACGAATTGTCACTGGGACTATACACTGAATGAGTATTTGGGGACATTTCATACATTCTATAATTTGAATCACTTCAAGTTATATTTATTACTCAAGCATTTTGTTTTATTTTTTGGCAATGGAACATCACGCAAGCAAGGCAATTGCTCTACCACTGAACTGCTAGACCTTTGACCCCATCAAGCATTTAATATGTACTGGAGAACTTGATATA